CCGCGCCCCTCCCCCCTTCCCCCCACCAGCGCCGGGGCACCATGGGACAGCAGCCGCAGGGCCCAGGTGCACGATGGGATGGCAGGAGACCGAAAGGGAGGAGTCAACGCGCTGATTGGCTGCTGCAGGCCCCACCCTGACGGCTAATGATGTCACAGGAAGTGCTGCCTGACACAGGAACACGCCTCAGGACTCTTAAAGTGGCGGGCGGGGGTTCTGCCTGGAGGACACAAAACACCCTTAAAAGGGCGGGGCTTGGCTCCGGAAAGGGGCGGGGCCCCACCCACGCAGCCAATAGCACCACAAGGACAGAGGAAGCTCTTCAAGGGGCGGCGCCCTCGCTGGATATTTGTCTGCAGGCAAAAAAAGATGGCCTCCATTGGGGGCGGGGTGGGCGGCCATATTGGAGAGCCAGCGGGCAGCCAATGGGATTGGCCGCTCGCTCTTAAAGGGACAGTCTACTGGTTTTTTAATTTTAGGCTCATTTTCCCCCATTTTCTCTATTTAAAGAGCCCCCGTCCCCTCTGTCATCCCCCTCCCCCCAAGCCCTTCTTAAAGGGGCGGCCGCTGTTGGCCATCTTGTGCTCAATCTCAGGAATATTTGTCTGTAGACCAAAAAAAAAATCCCTCCCCCCAACATATCTTAAAGAGGTGGCGCAGGCTCGGCTCCCGCTCACTCTCTGGGAGGATTTTCTGTAGAAAAACAAAGATTTTTGCTCTAAAATGGGCTTCTGTTGGAGTCGGCCATCTTGTTGCCACGCCTAGGGCGTGTCTCTTAAAGGGGCCGTGCGTGGGCAGCCATCTTGGTCTCACCCCAGTGGGAACGAGGGAGAGACCAAGCCCTCTCTCGGCGGGAGAGACGAGGACCGAGACGGGGGCGGTTGACACCCGGGTCCTTTTATTGTCCCCAAAAAGCGACGGCGGCATCCCCGTCACACCGTCCACTTCAAGCACCTGCGGGGAGAGAGGACGGGGTCACGGCGGGGGCTCCCCACATCCCCCCCGTCCCTGTCACGCGTGTCCCGGCGCATCTGCCCCGCGTTTTCCCATGTCCTTGGGGGTGTCCCACCCCCCTGTCCCCGTCCCCCACATACCGGGTGTCCTGGTGGGTGCCGAGGCAGCGGCTGGAGCAGTACCGGGCGCCGCAGGTGACACAGGTGTACGCCGAAGGGAAACCGCAAACGGCACAAAAATGGCGCTGGGGCAGGCGGGAAGGGCCGGCGCACGCCGAGACGTAGTTGGGACCCTCGGCCGCGCTCAGATTCTAAAAAAAAGGGGGGGGGTGAAGAGGGTCAGCTTAGGGTGCTGGCGGCACCCTGAAGTCCCCGTGACTCTTGGGGGGAACATCCGGCAGCGCTGAGTCACCCGGGAGCACGGAAACACCCCGAAACTGCCCCAAAAGGAGTAGCCAGCACCCCAAAACTGCACTTGAGACTCCTCCGAACAGCCTCAAACCCCCCCGAAATTGTCTCGCAGCCCTAAACACCCCCTGGGGTGGCCCAAACACCCCCAGAAGCCCCCCCAAAATGCCACAAAAATCACACAGAACCCTAAAACTGCACCCAACACTCCTTCGAACGGCCCCAGGACCCCTCCCCCCAAAGTTCTCTAACAGCCCTAAACCACCTCTGGGGTGCCCCAGAATCCCCCCAAGAAACCCCACTGAGATCACACAGCATCCCAAAACTCATCCTGGAACCCCCAAATCCCCCTGGGGATCAGCTAGCAGGGCTGAATCACTCCAAGGGCCCCCCCAACTACCCCTGGACCCCCCTAAACCCCCCAGAGGGATGATACGACACCCCTAAATTAAGCCAGGACAACCCAAAAGTTTCATGAGAATGCTCAAGCAACACTGAGCCACCCCAAAAGCCCCAACGTTCCCCCAGAACTGCACCTGGGGGGGTTGCTCAGCTCCCCAAAACCCCCCCCAGAACCCCCCCCCCAGCCAAACCCTTCGCACAGGGCTCTGCTGGCACCCCAAAACCCCCCTGGGGACCCCCCACACGCCATATGGTTCCTCTGACAGCCTAAAGCCCCCCCCATGAGTCTCCCCCCACCCCAGTGACCCCAAAACCACCCCACAAACCACAGTGACCCCCCCAAGTGAACCTCAAAGCCATAGAGCCCCCCCCAACCCCCAAAATGCACTGGAGTTCCCTCAAATGTCACCAAACTGCTCCCCCAAGTCT